TGTGGGCGCGCCACATACTTCATGCAACCAGTGTTGGCCGCGCGCTGGTCAACTCCAAGCGACCTAGTACCTTGATGGCATGGACCACGCTCATTCCTTGCTGTTGCAGATGGATCATCAGCATGTAAACCAGCCGTAGTTCCTGTTGAACCATGTTCGGGATGAGCGAGGTTAGTGTGAAAAAATGCATCCGTGTTCTTACTGCAAGAGGAAATATCTTCAAGAATTCTTGCCAATGCAATACTGTTAGCGTTATAACGATAGTTTCTGCATGTTCTGAGCAGAGCATGCAAGAAATATAATGCATCTTACCTCCTCTCTCATGGTCCGTTTCGAATAGCGCCTCAGGAACGATCGTGATCGTGTGCATTGTGTCGTTTACCAGAAAGCATTATTCTACGTCACGATCCACGTGATTTCTTCATTCCTCTTGCAGTAAAATCCAAAAACTACACGCAAACATTCAGTCATTTTTGCATCAACTGTTGCAACGAAAAATGTTGGTGGCGCAAGGAGAAGCTTGTCGTTTGGAGTGACAAGTGATCACCGCTGCTTTTCCTTGTCAGAGTCAACAATACACTTTGTTCTGCAGCGTTGGGAGTGGTGTTGGAGTAGAAATTGCTGACTAGACGTCGCGGAGGGGCGAGCTTTCCTGCGCAGGTATGAGTTTGGACGTATTTCAGAATGGTCGAGTGGAAAAATTCTAAATTGTTTATTTCAAGAAAACCCCAAAAGGATGATGGGGGACATGTCCTCAGTGCTAGAAGAGGTGTTCTACTATCTGCCGGTGTATAGTGTTTGCTAATTGAGGACGTAGCTCGCTGTTTTATCAGCGCTTGTAATTTGGCTATTTTCAAGACGATCATTTGTGGCGTCAAGGGATGATTGCCCTCGTCTTCTGGAATGCTGGCGTGGCTAAGTAGTGCTGCCCCAAGAACTCTTCTAAGGTGAGGTAATGATGGCTTGATGGAGTTTTGTTCGTAGCTTGTTCTTGCACGCTGTGCCGTGGCTCGTTTGTTGACCCATAAATCGTGCCAATATTGGGCCAATATTGAGGGGTATACAAATTTCATGGTTCCCTTCAAAAGATTTTGTGCGGGCTTTGGAATGTCGATCTACACCCCAAAGCAAACCTACCTGCAAAATTTGAGCGAAATCTGAGAGATCGACTTGCACATATGTTCTGGTTTTCTCAGACATGCTCTCTTAATTATTATTATTATTATTAATATTATTTGCCTCTCTGCGTTTGCATCAGGGTGTGGTACTACAAAAATCAACAAATCGACATAATACACATCCACCCCTAGCATTCGCTCAGGCCGCTCAACAAGTCAAAAGACAGTAGGGACGAGAGAAATTGAGGGTCGAAGGAAGGAAAAAGGCAAAGGATATGGAAGAAATATATCAGATTGTCCATTAAATTCACTTCATACATCATGATTGTCCTGTTCCATTTGGGCAAATCTGGGAATTCCTCTGCAGGCTCAGGTGCGGAAAAGCTGCCGCCATACTGCTCTGTCCTGTGTGAGGTCCCTGATATGGGATAGATCTTTATCCGTCTGCAGCGTCATTCCCTTTGATGCGAGGTCTGTTCTCAGTATTGTTGGGAGTGTGGAAGGCGGCCGGCCACGGAATTTTTTCTCGTGCTTTGTTTTCCGGAAGTAGGCTGTCAATTATGTCATGGCCATTTGTGCTGGGGACTCCTTGTCCAGTCTGCAGATGTTACGGAGGAGTCGCATCCGAGCAGCTTTTAACCAGGACAGTTAGTGGCTGTTACAGCATTCATGTTATATCAAAATCCCATAAGACAGTATTCATATAACCAATCATGGTACATCAAGACAACATGTAAGAATTTGTCAAATCAAGTACACTGTAGATTGCTGAAAGTTCCCAGCAGAGTGGCGAGACTGGGTTTCTACTGACAGTATAAACCTAGCGAATTCTTGATCTGAAAATTATAAAACAAATTGTATAGAGAGACACATGTTGGTGCATGTATATCTACATGTACATTGTAGCAGCGAAACTGACTGATCAGACGCATTTCTAAGTAGTTCGCATACCGTGATGTCCCGTATAAAAACCGGAATTATTCCTGTACGAGGTGAATAGCAATTTCTGGACATGAAAATAAAATAGAGCCCCACAGGCTGTGTGTTTTACATTTTTCATATCTTTTTGTATCTATTGTATGGCCTAATCCTTCATCGTTCCAAATATGTGACAATTGCTCATGCTGTGATCCCAGAGACTTTATAGCAGAACGTTTTTGACAGGCCAATTTTTTGGCCTAAATTTCAGTGTATGGAATTCTGGACATGAAAGTAAAATAGCGTCAAAAGGCATCCTATACTGCACCATTTGTGTTATTTTTTCTATTGCTGGACTGCAGTTGGCCTCTTCACACTTCCAGCCAACAGGTCCAAGACTATACAGCATCTGAAGTGGAGTGCACATGGGGAAGCCAACGATTCGTCCATTACTTTTTATTTTACTCAAAATTCAAAATTCTCATGCGACATAGTACCACAAAACTCGTTGAAATGCCTCACAAGCAAAGGCTATCAACAAGGCATCGACACGAGGAGAAACTACAACAACCCAGCTGTCAACTACGGCAAGAAAAAACTTCATCAACCTGACTGACTTGACTCTACACGCGACGAAAAATTATTTTACTCGAAATGTCCAGAAATGTACAATGTCCAGAAATAGCAATTCACCTCGTAGAAGTTGATATGAGGGGTAGGCTTCTATTAAAATTAGGGAGTAGTAAATCACCGGTATATTACTACTCCCTGATTGTAATTAAATTATTTGGCTTCTATGCCGAACAGGTATTTCCCTGTACATTTGTGTATGTTGTTGTTGTTGTTGTTGTTGTTGAATTGTATTTAAATTCGCAACACAAACAGGCGATGGCGCCTTTTATACATGCGAGCGACATGACAATATTTATAGTAATAGTGAAGGGGAGGGGAGGGGAGGAGAAAAAATCACAAGTGAAAGAAGTCACCGAAGGTAACTGAATATGTTACAGATAGATCTGCGGGGAAAAAAAACCGAAAACACGGAGTGTAACTGACCGATTCGATGTCGAGAAGTTCATTTCCTAACATCCTTCCAGAAAATTACAGTCAATTCATTGGAAACTGGCACCCTAACTTTTTGGTGTCTCTCTCACATAGTTGTAGATATCGTGAAAACAACAGTACATCCTGCATTGTGTGACCCGTGCAATTACTCCTTGCCACATTTGAGGCCAGAAAAGTCCAAGAACAGGGAAATAGAAATTCAGCCAGGTTTTACAAAATTAGGACAGGTATGCCATGGCAAAATGTATGGAGAAGCAGATCCAAAACCCGGATTTTTGAGATTTAAAGTGGGTTTTTGATCCTCAATTCCGCCCAAATCCGACTTTCAAAAGCCAGCGGGCCAGTTTCAGATGAATGGACTGTAGGATGGGATTTGAATCATTTGATCAGATAAAATCTTACTCAAAAATAGACAGGATTGACCATTGGTGACCAGATAAAAAAGGTGACCTATTTTGAATACTTGGACGCTTTCGAGAGAGCACATAAATGAGCTGACAAGGTTCACACAGCGCATCATGGGCGGTGTTTTGTTGCAGAGAATGGCACCAATGAACTGGATCGTACCTCGACCAGAAGGACCTGGCCAGAAGGGTACCGGCAATAGGTTTTGGTCAGCTCCACCGGTGCGATCACTCTGTGTTTCGGTGTAATAATCCCAAAACAGGACACTTGAACGGCCATGAATGCAGCGGCGAACGAATATTAGGATCTTCGCTGCCAGGGCGTCCTCGAGGGTAGGAAGACAGAGTCTCTCGAAGAGCCCTGCAGTGGAAGTCCACGGCGGAAAGCCAAAGAAGGCACGGATTGCAGCTTTCGTCATCCGAGTGAGGGCGTCAATATTCCTGGCCATCAGAGACGGATAGATTGCATTGGACGCGTATGTTAGTATGGACATGATCACTGCATGATAAAATAACTTTTTCGAGGAGACTGTCAAGCTTTGACGTGTGCGCCATAGCGCACTAATGGAGCGTCGAACTTGGCGAATGGTGTGGTCGACATGGCCATCCCAAGGAGAGCTCATTATCAACAATAGGGAGGTTTAGTTCCCACGTAACGGAAACGCGTACGTGGGTGATCCACGTAAAGTGGATGAAGGGCACCCACGTTGCAACGTTGTGTTTAGTCACACGGAACAAACAAAAGCGTAAAGCGAAAGGCCCAAACCTGGTCAAAGACGAAGCTACCCGGGCCTAAGAAGCTCATCGAATATTTTGATTTCGTGCTTCGGAAACTTCTTCAGCTGAGCACCCTCACAGCTTGCACAATGCGCTCCATTCTGATTTTCACCCACGTTCTGGCGGAACGTGGGTGAGCCTCCATACACGGCATGTCGTGAATCAGAAAACGTCTGTACGTGGGTCACTGAGTATCACGTGGTACACCCACGTAAAGTACCCACGGATTACGTGGGACTAAACCTCCCTAATAACTCCAAGGTAGCGTGCCTGTGACAGAATTGTTAGCAGTTTCCCGTCGCAACGGATCTGGAGCGGTTCTGCACTCTGCTGCCCACCACGAGGTGTTATAATATTATGCAAGACCTGAATCTTCGTCTGGTTCAGCTTAAGGCCATGGTCCTCAAGCCAAGTTGCCAGATTGGTGAAGATTCAGGCTTTATACTTGCACGTGCGAATGGTGCATCTTGAAAAACCATGCTATTAAAAGTTCTATTCAAAAGAGGTTTGTATGAAAGACAGGCTTTCACAGAACACACTATAGTATTGCTACGGGTATCGAGTCAATTGTGTGTGTGTGTGTGTGTTTGTGTGTGTGTGTGTGTGTGTGTGTGTGTGTGTGCGTGCGTGTGTTTGTGTGTGTGTGTTTCTGTGTGTTTGTGTGTTTATTGACCTGACCAATGCTCCTTACTTGTTGGTCTTGCTGGTTTTCCAATAGTATGCAACGAATACGAAATCAAGAATGGAAAAATTGAAAGTGGAGATTATGGCGCAATCCGTGTACCAACGTGTCATTCTGGTTACAAACACGGGATTTTCGCATATGTGAAATGTACTGGCAAGATCGGCGTCTCTGGCCACGCTGCTTATGGGTGGTATAACTTGTACTCTGTGCCTATGAACAACATGTGCGTCAGTAAGTAATCACTGGCATTCAACTGTAATGTTGACGATTGGAACTAATTCAAGCGACCAGGCGCTACGCCAAAGAAGAGAGGAAACAGATGACTCAAGCTGTTCGATTGGCATGGCGAATTTAAATTGTTTTTGCTGAGATGGCTAAATTTTCATCAGCGCGCAGATTCTCTATAGTTTCAAGAACTGTTGGTGCCCATCCGGGCTTGCAACCAGCTTGAATGGTGGTGACAGCTTTGCAGATGACCCGCGTTCCTCACCGCACATTCTCCGTGCCCATGAGCCACACTCGCTTGTCGATGTCCGGAAATACGGTTTTCGCGAGATGTTTGTCGTGCTGCTAACGTACCTTCTCGGTCAGTTTGTACGTGTACGAGTACACCTGATGAGGTGTGAACCTCGAGAGCACTGTTTTAAGATGGTGCATGTGTAATTTATATGCACAAGCCTCATCAACTCTTTAAAAAAGCGATGGGCATCAGAGGTGAGTAGATCTGACCCCAAACTAAGAGGTTGAAGACAGAAAGTCCCATTCACTGCCTCCATGTTTCCCTCGTGCCAAGCCAAAAGTTCAGACTGCGCGTCACAGCACGGGAAGGAAATTCCATCTGATAAGTGGAATTTGAACCTGGTATCCTCTGTTTCTCAACCATGGCCTTCGACCATCCTACTACACCTACCTCCATCAAAGAGAAACAGTGTTCCAACACCTTTCAATTACAGTACTTAACTTCAGTCAAGTTCTTTGGCTGTATCCTTCAGTTCCGTATTTCTTTCCCCACTGATGATAGGAACGAGTCAATTCTGGGTTTCATAATTTCATTAATAATATTTTTGTTATAAAATACACAGTCCTACATGTCGAGAGAGAGAGAGAGAGAGAGAGAGAGAGAGAGAGAGAGAGAGAGAGAGAGAGAGAGAGAGAGAGAGAGAGAGAGAGAGAGAGGGTGAGAGAGAGAGAGAGAGCGGGGAGAGGGAGAGAGAGAGAGCGGGGAGAGGGAGAGAGAGAGAGAGCGGGAGAGAGAGAGAGAGCGGGGAGAGAGAGAGAGAGCGGGGAGAGAGAGAGAGAGAGAGAGAGAGACAGAGAGAGAGAGAGAGAGAGAGAGAGCGGGGAGAGGAGAGAGAGAGAGAACGGGGAGAGGGAGAGAGAGAGAGAGAGAGAGAGTGAGTGAGAGAGAGAGAGAAAGAGAGAAAGAGAGAGAGAGAAAGAGAGAGAGAGAGAGAGAGAGAGAGAGAGAGAAGAGAGAGAGAGAGAGAGAGAGAGAGAGCGGGGGGAGAGAGAGAGAGAGCGGAGAGAGCGGAGAGAGCGGAGAGAGAGAGAGAGAGAGAGAGAGAGAGAGAGAGAGAGAGAGAGAGAGAGAGAGAGAGAGAGAGAGAGAGAGAGAGAGAGAGAGAGAGAGAGAGAGAGAGAGAGAGAGAGAGCGGGGAGAGAGAGAGAGAGAAAGCGGGGAGGGTTGGGGGAGAGAACTAAATGAAGTATAAAAATAAAGAATGAGAGAGAGAGGGCGTACGGAAGGTACGGCGTTCTGAAGATGTTTGCTGTTAAACGGTTTGCCGTGTGGCACAGAAGAACGCACCATTGTCTACACTTGCTTATTGTTTCTTTTACTCAATAATCCAGGGAGCATGTGGGAAAAGCTGCTTCCCTCTGGAGCGGATACGTTACTATAATTACTCACATTCCCGGCTCAACAATGGTACTGAGACTAGGACAAACGTTACAACTACTGTGCAGGGGCTGAGCTGAGACGCAGCAGTGATGGTGACCCGAACTCTCGGCATCACAGGCGAAAAACAAGCACCAAAAAACAAAAGATAGAACTGGACTGGTTAGGAAAGCTTAAAACCAAGGAGTGTGCGGGAGAAATTATCGTACTCTGAAAAATTAAAGGGGTTGTGACTGAGAGGAGTATCATCATTGCTGATTGTCCGAGCCAGCTTTGTTGCGTAGATAGGGATAGGTGAGAGCAGCATCATAGCGAGTCGACTACTCAGAGCCAGTTTGTGCTTCATAGATGGCGATAAACGTTCGTTGTAAAAGTTTCCATTCCCTTGCTGTGGGGAGGCTGGGAAAGAAGAGTGTTGGGGAGGGAGTTCCAGATGTCAGTGAGTAAGTTGTGGTATTGCTTTTTCCGTCGGTAAACATTTCTGCTCAGTCTCAAATTGCACCGACTTTGGGGTTTTCAAAACTTCACCATCGCCGGGTCATCGTGTGCGTTATTATTGCTGTGAACCAACCGAACGAGCCCTTCTGTGCGATCAATATTCGAATTTCCTTTTATTTCGCTCTTTTCTTTCACAGAAAACACACTTATTGGAACATATGTTGCCTCAACAGCAGGTAAGTGAAGTGTACAAGTCTGTCCTTCTTCCAGCCCTGCGTAGTTGCATGAGGTAGATTCTCCACACGCTAGCAGAGTGTCCGTCTATTCATTGTACGGTACTCTGCTTCATTCTAATCTCTCTTGTAATGGCTTCCGGTAGATTATGACACTACCGGTATATTCAGATTTCCATCTAGCTACTTAATCAGACTATACAACCTTGCTGTACTGTGCGAAATCCTCCTCAGAAGTAGCACTGACACATGCACACACACACACGCACACACACACACACACACACACACACACACACACACACACACACACACACACACACACACACACACACACACACACGATTCCAATTCCTAATACCAAGAGTACTGGAGCGAGCAGTCTCAACCAAGACTGTAATGCTTTCAACTTTTTCTTCATGGGTGCCCGTCAAGACGAAATTTCTGGATTTAGCACGCACACGCGCACACAAACACACACGCACACACACACACACGCGCGCGCACGCGCACACACACACACATATCGAGGTGCAAAGCATTGGCACACGACACTTTGTAACAGCTTTCCGTTCTTGTTTTCTTGGTTTTCAGGAGGTTTAATTACTGGTACTGGTACTGGTTTAATGACTGGTCCTACTATGCCGGTTTCCGGGATTACCATTAGTAAGTTTTATGAACAAGTTCATTAAAACAATATTGAACGGTCTCTGCTGGGATGACGAACGACTACACCATAGCTCAGTGGTTGGAGCAGCGCTGGGCTAAAGCGAGGGTCCCTGGTTCGAGTCCTGGTGGTGACAGTCAATTTTTTCATCAGACTTTCCCCGTTTGCGTCTTTCTCTCGAACCCGTGAATATCAAACAACATTATATTTAGTAACTCGGATGGTGAGCCAATTAAGTTATTGTGAAAAGAAGAAGGACAAAATGTTACAAGTTATGACTAACTGTCCACCAACGTAACCAGATCTTATACAGTCAGCGAGTGCGACAAAATGGCACAAAACTGACAAGGAGTTCTGAGACATTTGGCGACCTGACACCTAGCTCCAACACTTCTCCAAGGCGCAAACCAACAACCTTCCAACTTGGAAGGCTCAGGTTCGAAAAGGTCCAAGAGGGGAAGGAGAGCGCGACGAAGAAGAGCACGAGCCTCGCACCACGGCAACAAAGAATGCCGAAAGTTACTGGATGATGACGAAACTAGTAAGACTATTGGACATACCGGCCTTACTACAACTCGACGACGCAACGCAACAGACCACCCAACTTGGGAGGCTCCAGTTTATGTAATAAACTCGCACTCACACTCGCTGACTGTATACGATCTGGTTACGTTGGTGGACAGTTAGTCATAACTCGTAACATTTTGTCCTTCTTCTTTTCACAATACTGTAATTATTTTTTATCCCTTTTTCTTTTTTTAAATTGCTTTTATAGGGAACACAGCCCTACAAAGAGACATGTGGAGACAAACACAAAACGAGACACAGGGGATTTAGGGACGATGTGCCGATGTGCTACTGGGTGTGCCAAGCTTGCCACAGCTTCTCTTCCAGAAGCTTGCCATCTTCGTTTTCAAATGTTTAAATGACAAGACAAGTCCCCTGTTAAAGAATCTGTTCGTGCCGATCAACGACCCTGCCACACCTCAGCTGAGGACGACACGGGGTCAAGTGTCAAGCCTGCTGAGAGTTCCGTTCCTCCCTGGTCCTGCTGGACGTCGTTCAATTCAGTTTGTTAGCAGCATTCTGTGGAATGCTCTCCCAGTTGCAGTCCGTACGGAAGGTGATTGGCAGACATTTAAAGCTCTAGCCACGGCTCTCGACTTGCCCAGCCTTTACCCATATTAACATTCTGTGTACCTAACTTCATGTCGAAATCCATTTTAACAATCCGCATATCTCTCCTCCTCCCCCCCCCTCTCTCTCCCTGTCTCTGACACACACACACACACACTTTCTCTCTTTCTCTCTCTCTCTCTCTCTCTCTCTCTCTCTCTCTCTCTCTCTCTCTCTCTCTCTCTCTCTCTCTCTCTCTCTCTCTCTCTCTCTCTCTCTCTCTCTCTCTCTCCCTCTATCTATCTCTCTGTTGTTGTTGTTATTGTTGTTGTTGTTGTTGTTGTTGTTGTTGTTGTTGTTGTTGTTGTTGCTGCTGCTGCTGCTGTTGTTGCTGTTGCTGTTGGTCATTTTGTGACAGCTTGTACAATTCCCTGTCCAGGTAGTAAAGCCGTCTCTCTCCTCTCTCTCTCTCTCTCTCTCTCTCTCTCTCTCTCTCTCTCTCTCTCTCTCTCTCTCTCTCTCTCTCTCTCTCTCTCTCTCTCTCTCTCTCTCTCCTCTCTCTCTCTCTCTCTCTCTCTCTTGTTGTTGTTGCTGCTGCTGCTGTGGTGTTGCCGTTGCTGTTGTTGTTGGTCTGTTGTTGTTGTCGCTGTCGCTGTTGTTGTTGCCGTTGCTGTTGTTGTTGGTCATTTTGTAAGAGCTTGGACAGTTCATTTGTCCAGGCAATAACGCAGTCTCTCTCTCTCTCTCTCTTTCTCTCTCCATCTATCTATCTCTATCTCGAATCTATCTCTCCTCTCTCATCATGCTTGCGTCACACTCTCATGGAATTTTTTATTTATTCATTTATTTTTATTTTTTATTTTTTATAAGATTGCATGCT